CTGTATAATACAGAATATTCATGTGAGGGGAGAAAGGCAGTCCTCAAGGCTGTTGAGTGAGACAGAAAACCACACCCTTCGTTGGAAGCACACGAAGGATTCAACATGACTCAGATCATAATCTAAATTACAAAATAGGAATTTTACTGTATTTGTGTTTTGGAATAACATGACTAGCAAGAGAAAAAACAATTGCTTGTAAATCATCTGAAGGTATTATGTAACAGGTTGTAAAGGAAAGGGCTTGGGGTGGGTTAGCAGTGAGTGTGAATGTTGCCTCTCTGACTGCTTGACCTTACTTCCTCTCCTACTGATGCGTCCTGGGTTCTGCTTTCTTCCGCTGTATTACAGTACAATAGCAAGTCATTAAAATGCATGAAAGCTTAGAATACGGTCTGTGTTCAGTAGAAGTATCTATTATTGTTACTACTATTATTATTACTTAATACTCAGTATTACTACTATCACTCAATTACTCAAGAAAGGACTTCACGTAGAACAAATTTATTTTCAGGATGGGGGCTATAATGGGATTCATCTATGATTCTCTTTCTTAAAACTCTGGTAAACAAACCTGAGTCCTCAAAAAACTTATTTTATTACATACATGTCCTTGGTTCAAGAGAGATCATTAAGATGATGGCAACTCTGTATGTTGCCAGTATATATGGTGATTAGGCTTATTTAATAAAAAGCAATGCTAAATGGCCTTATAATATGCAATGAATACGCAGTTTCTTTTCTGATATATGCAAAATCAATTTTGATGCAGACATTTTTCTATATATCAAGACTGATATGGAAATTTTTCCTAACCACCCAGCTGCTACAATGTTAAATAAATTAATTTTAATCTTAAATCAGAGATGTAATAGAGAAAGAGGTGATTTAATATGCAATCTCATTACATTTGACAGGCTTATTTATAAATGATTTGCCCCACATTTTGACAAGCATAGTTAATATGTTAATTAGCTTTTAAAAAGATGATGAAAGGAAGAGACTGACACGCTATCATTCTTCCCACACCATGTTGGGGAGCACTGTAATTGATAGCATAAGGTAGTGCTAAGAAATACTGTGTCCCCCAAAAAACATTTTGATCTTATGAGATAATTATTTATTAGCTACAGATAACCTAAGTCACCTTATGTTAAAAATTAATCCCTTAAAATGATCCCAACTGACCTGCTTTAGAAAACAAATGCCGCTCAAAACATATTTCCAAGCTTCTATAAAGGACGATAGCGTTCAGAGTAATGACCTCCACAGCTAGAACAGAGCTCCCAGACAAGGCAGGAAGTAACTACCCGGGTAAGCTGCTGTCACCAACGCACTTCTCAGTACCTGGTGACCCTTTTAGGTTTAGGAGCTTAAAGATGATTTCCTACACCTTGACTTTCAACGAGTTGCACAGTCCTAGAATTAAGAGAAGTTATACACAAGACAATGTCTAGTTTGAGTCCTCTGCTTAAAGCCTCCTTCATGGAGGGGGACAACGGGATGAAAAACGATCTTTCTCGATGAGTGCTCCAATCGCACAGTGTGTTCACACCCACCGGGGGGTGGACACCTAGAGCAGTGGATCATAACACGGCGAGCTCCGGTTTCCATCACTTGCTGCCAACGTTAATGTCTATGTGTCTTCATTAATATTTTATTGCCTGTGGCTATTTAAACAGAAAACTGGAAAATGTAACGCTGTGTAGGGATCGTTAGGTTTTAGTTACTACCCTACTGCCCCAGGATGGTAAATGAACTGTAAAAATGGCCTGAAACAATTGCCACCTGCCTCCCTGCTATTGTGCATGGGTTAATATTTGCCCTTCTCCTCTGTGCAGCTGAGCCATGACTCAATTACAGTCCCATTTCTAGGTCTTCACATACCCAGCATGGACTCATTTATTATGCAAAAATCAGTGCCCTGTGAACTTCTCTCTCTGGAAAAATACATACATTTTATCTGACTTATAGGATAATAACAAATGGCTTTTAGAAAATGGCTTGGAATGAAATCAAATTCAGAATGACAGGCATAGCACAGACATTATTCAGATTTTAGGGCTTGGAAATGAAGAGCCAAGAAGCATAGGAAGAGGCTCAAACGTAACACATTCACTATTTGTTTTTGCCAATAATTGTTGCATGCAGACAAAAGGGCATTTGGGGTCTACTATTTTTTTTTTAATTCTCACCTGAGGATATGTTTACTGATTTTAGAGAAAAAGGAAGGGGAGGAGGGGGACAGGGACAGAGAGAGAGGTCGGTTGCCTCCCGTACACACCTGAACCAGGGACTGAACCCGAAACCTAGGCTCATGCTCTGACTGAGAATCAAACCTGCAACCTTTTGGTATGTGAGATGATGCTCCAACCAATTCAGCCACCCAGTAGGGCTGGGGTCTACTATTTTGTATCAGTTTTCCTTCCTTCTCCTTTATTTATTTCTAATCCTCACCTGAAGATATTTTTCTATTTATCTTCAGATAGAGTATGAGAGAGGGGGAGAGGGAGAGAAAGAAACATCGATGTGTGAGAGAGACACATCGACTGGTTGTCTCCCACACGACCCCAACCAGGGCTGGGGTCCGAACTGCAACCGAGGTACATGCCCTTGACCAGAATCGAACCCGCAACTGTTTAGTCTGCTGCCTAAGCTCTAACTGCTGAGCAAAACCTCCCTTCCACTTTAAATAACAGTTTTATTCTCATGCTTCATTATGTCTCTGATTGTAGTAAATGGGCCAAAAGTGCCTAAGCCTTCTTCCTTAAGAGAATGAACATACATGTGCACACACGTATGAAAGGAAAAATGGGTGTGGGGCAGCAGGGAGGTGAAGACCGGAAATCAAATACGAATTATCACAAACAAACATATTAGCAAGTTACAATCTATGTGGCTCTTTGTACTTTAAATAGCACTTTTAAAGATTTGGGAAAAATTAGCCAATACTGTATAAAAAACAGCTTCTCCCGATCATGAGGGTAGAGTCTCAAGTGAACTGCCAAGCACTAAGACAAAACTGGCTCCAAGCCATAAATATTTCCAGATTATGTTCTATTTGCAGAGTCCTTAACTGACCTCACTGAAAGGCAACCCGTAATTTCCATACTCAAAAAACAGAAAAAAACCACTCCATAACTCAAGAATATTAAATAATGATTATTTGCATAGCCTATTGTCAAGTATAAGGCAGGAGGGAGGAAGGGAATTAGAAAGCTAAGAACCGGTATCTTGATGCATTCTTTGACCTTTATTTCCATTTTTTCCCTCCATTACAACGAATGATCAAAATATCTATTTTGCCCAAGCCCCTGCGCCTCGTCTTAGGGGGGAAAATAAATCTCACTGTAAAAAAATTTCCGAAACAAACAAACAAAAAAGCCAGGAAGTGGGATGAAAAAATAGATTAGCTCAGCTCCTCAGTGATAGATGGTCATCTTTATAGATGGTCAGAGTTTTGGAACATGCATTACTATAGCATCAGATTTATAAGACATTACAAAATTGATGGCAGTAGATCTTAGGCTGTTTGATGACCCAGATTCTTTTATGGCTCTATTGAAAGCTACAGATCTCCACTCCATAAAAATGAATATATCCATGTGGACACAAAATACTGCATTTAATCTCAGTGGTTTCAAAGATCCCCAAATCCCATTCCTGGGGGTGTACTGGAACCCAAATTAGGAAAATCTACACTGTGCCCTACATCACGAGGAACTTGTTTTCTCACCATAAATTATCTGAATCACAAACATCAGGGAAGACAGATCTCATCTCAACCTAATTTACTAAAAGCCAAGATAACCGAGGGCAGAGCTATGAAGTCAGTACATGGCAGTAAGACAGACAACACGTGCTAAAGTTTTATTAGGGCAAAAACATCATATGAACATGTAGCTGAATTCTGTACATGGGACATGGTCATTCTTGGACGATGATTCCTGCTATAAAATAACCATGTGCTATGTAAACTGTTTTGCTAGAAAAAACATTTGAGTCTAGAAAGGGATTTTTCTATTAATAAAGGGCATTTTTCTATTAATAAAGAGGATATTTATTTTTATCCTCACTCGAGGACATTTTTCCATTTTTTGTTCAGAGAGAGTGGGAGGGAGAGAGAGAAACATCGACATGAAAGGGATACATCGAGTGGTTGCCACCCCAGGGCCGGGGACAAACTGCAACTGAGGTACACACCCCTAGCAGGAACCGAACCCGGGTCTTTCTGGACCGCAGGCCGACGCTCTAACCGCTGAGCCAAACAGGCCAGGGCGATAAAGGGCATTTTCAACAGTCACTAGTAAGCCTCTCCCGAGAGCTAAAAATGATTACCTTCTTAGATTATTTTATTCAGATCACAATGAATTAGGAACTTGTACTTTATTAATAATAATTATGCATTAACATCTCATCAGTCTTTGGGCCTCCTATTATGACAGATTTTTAAGTTTTGCTAAAACATCATGTGAGACTGAGACTCTATTGACATTAAACTTATTGTGACCCTTTAAAAGAACAGTTCTATTTCATTTTGGATCACTGGTGCCAACAGTTTCCAGAAGCATACTGCACCAAATTTAGTGCCCGACAGTTACACCCAAACTTTCAGACCACTTATCTGCGTTTTGCTGTGAATTTAAACATGCTCGCTACTACTTCCAACCCACACTGTTGTCTGGAGATAGAGATATACGTCCTTGTCATAAAATAAAGCCACAAATTAAGACCTTTGGGGAGAAAAATCATCGCACTGACAGTTAGAAAAATGGCTCTGCCCCTGCCCATTAAGAACCATTAGCAGAGCCCATCTGCAAGGCAGTCTCTGATTAGGGACTATTCCCAATCATGTTTTTTAAAAATCCAGCATCACTGCCACACACAGGCAAACACTCCTCCACCATTAATCTTCATTCAAACTGCTAGGATGTTTGTCGAGGCTTGACCCAGCCCAGACACCAGAGAGAGATTAGCTAGAGAAAGCTTCCGGTTCTCACCACATGTCAAGGCAGGTAGAATACTCTGTCGAGCCCAGGAGCACATCTGGAGGTCTGTACCATAAGGTAACCACTTCATTGGAGTATGTGTGGCTAGGGACCGATTTTGCTCTTGCAAGACCTGTGGGTTACATGAAACATAAAGACGTTTAATCGGCATTAATGGAACAAGGGAATTTAAGTTTGAATGTTCACAGTTTTAAAAGGTCAAACATGACACTGTAATACAGAATCATGAATTCAGTGTCAAGGTTACAAGAAAGGTCTACCCATTTCACACACATGCTAGTAAATCATTTATATTCCTAATAAAGCATCATGAATCTAATAAAATGCCAGGAGAGTTAAGCAAATGATTCGTCGACAATTAGATATTACACAGAAGCTTAGAAATCTTACACTTTCCAAAGAATGTTTCATGGAGCTCTAGTTCTGAGAGTTATAATGTTATTAGAAAGACTTCTAAGATCAAATCATTTTTATGACAATTAACCAAAATCAAATAAACGAAAAAGATGGTTTAAAAAGTGAAACGGGACTCCATACAGGGAGATTCTCAGCGCCCCGAATTTCCCCGTGTGTACTGTGGATCCGAAAGAGAGCAGGGCAGCACCTCAAAAGCTATTTCCAAAACTTCTTTTGGATTCAGTGTTCTGTCAAGCGCTCGCCAGGAAAGACAGTCAGGAAGCTCATTTGAAAACTACCTAGTTAAATAATTATAAAGGAATAGTTAAGTAAATGAAAATGTTTTCTAAAAATTTTTTAAAACTGGGAAAATGGTCACAATAATATAGTAAGTGATAATGTGTGTGCAGTTTGATCTCAAACCATACATACTTATGCACAGAAGAACGAATGATAGAAAAAATATTTTTACAAGCTTTCTACAATGGCCATGATTCCTTTCAAAATCACAAAATCTAAGAACGTTATTTTTTTAAGAGGAAAAATAATCTGTGTGATAGCTTTCTATCTGGGTATGTTTGTTAATGACAAGTGTAAAGTATTATTTATCACTGTGATGTTCAAGGTACATACAACATTTTAATACTATTTTACTATAACAAATTCATTTCCTTGTTATGCTTATTTAAATTTTTATGTAGTACTTAGAAACATGACATTTTTCCTGTTTATTAAACACACGGTATTCCCTTAAGTATATTCTATGCAAACGTTAAAATTAATAGGACAGCTGGTGAAACAAAGAATTTCTAATTAATTCAACTATTGTTACAGTAACTCAATTTTTCTATGATGCAGTTTTTCTAATAATACAATGGCATATTATAAATTGGTTGATGTTTATAAGTATTCCATATTAAAATGTACAGGTTATAAACACATACATACACATACCTGGTCCTCGACTTTTTTGCACATTAATAGAATAACTAGTTTTGCTAATAGATTTCTGAAACAACCTCTACTTATTTTCTTTTCCTTTTTAATGTATACCGATTGGGCATCTATATACCTTATGAAGTGATCAAGCCAGTAAGTCTAGTACCCATCTGACACCATACATAGTTATTACAATAATATTGACCATATTCCCTATGCTGTACTTGACATTCCCGTGACTATTTCATAACTGGCAATTTGTACTTCTTAATCCCTTTCACCTTTTTTCTGCAAGGTGTTTTCCTACCTCAATTCAGGCAAAACTGAACAGATATGGCAATCGAGGTGGCACTGTTTCCAGAATTTAGTAATCTCATCAAAAGACTTAGTTCTTCAAATGGGCATGTTTCTATACAGAGACCAAAGAGCTGAGCACAAGCCCTGAAAAAGTTTTGACTAGTTCCATATGCTGTTGTCAAGTCAAATGGGATGCCAAAAACATCCAGGCTGGATTCCCTCGGCTTTTCTGAGGCCCTGTTGACAGACAGTGAGGCCAGAGGGAGAGGAGAATGAAAATATCTGAGATTTTCTTTGACAGCGCAGACAACCAGGCTACAGAAAACTATGATATTTTCAGTTTTAAAGAGAGAACATGACCTCAAAGTAACTTAGAAATAGTATAAATCTAAATAATTACATGTGATTTCAGGTCAGTTATGTTCACACTGACTGTAAGTTTACAAACTGGTTAAATATATCTGGAAAATATAAATAGAAAAGGCTTTGTCTATATTATTTCCCTCCTTCCCACATGTTTAGGTCAAGGACTGCCCAAACTCTATTCACATGGGCCACAGAGCTTCCCAAATTAACAGTGAAAATGAGTTTTCCATATCCAGCTCTTCAACGTTTCTTAAAATGATCTGCGTGCAAAGGTATTGTATATTGAAGAATGTTCCAGTTTTAAGATACATTTTTCTGCATTGCTTGAGAAAACTCATCATCTCACATAAATAAATAATCAAATGAAACAGTGTCTTGTGGAAAGTGTCTCTGTACATTGATAGACAAAAAGTTTTCACCCTACCAATATTTCTGTTCAGTTAAAAAGATAAATACATCCCAAAACTTTTCAGGGAGGGAGCAAATTATTAAAACAATGACTCAAAAATAAAAGAAAGTACATTCTGAAGTAGGAATATATAACTGGACTTTTTATAAATATTTCTGATAAAGATACTGCTATGTATTTATATAGTTCATGCATCAAAACACGCTTACTCATGTAAAATTTATTAAACTGTATCCTGCAGCTGAAGGAAAACTGTAGGACAGGATTAATTAGCACAGCATGTGTGAAAGCTTTCTTTCTCTGTTCCTTGTCAGTTGCTATGGTTACACTACAGGAAGAGAGCTACACTACCTTTTAAAAAGGATGAAGTTCATGGGTTATTATCAAAACTTCTTGCATTAATGTTTAGTTTGAATTAAAAGTTAAAAAGCAAAGTGAACTGCTAACCAGATGAGTACAGGTTACCTGCAAGTCGCTTTGGCTGAGTGCGTGCATATGAACCGGTGCATGTTGCCATGGGCACCGAAAACAGCTTGTGTAACAATTCTGAGTACCCAACTTTAAGGTGTTACTGTTTCTAACTAATCAAAGACCCTAAAGTGAAATAAAAAAATCCTGCTATTCAAGCCCTATTGCCAATTATTCAAAGGTGGGCAACCTTAATACTAGTTAGCACAGCGGAATCTTCCATTTTGCAGGGAAACAGGATAAAGCACATAGTGCTTCTAACATTTGCCCTAGGCTGGCCATTCAGCATCAACCAATGGAGACTCTCCAGACCTTATCTTAATAGCTCTCTCAGCTACAATGGACACTGTTAACCACACCTCTTCTTTTAAATCAATCCCTTGACTTCTCAGATATGGAAGAGTTAACAAGAGTGACTTGGTTTCCGTCTTGGATCTTCCTTGATATGCTGTTTTTTCCTCGGGTTACGTATGCAAAACAGGACTTTCTTAAATGCATACACTCTGTAGGTAACTGTGGCTAATGCCATGTTTTAACTGTCATGAATAGGTGATTTCTCACAAGATTTTATCTCCACCTTCTACTTGTCCATGGGCTTCAGATTTTGGTCTACCCAATTCCTTAGCAGACACAGGCACAAGGATGTCCTGTGGGCACTCAACACAACCCCAGCCCCAAGTGCCCACAGCCATCTTCATCGCTAACAAATGGAGTATGCCATGAATCCAGAAGTAAATGCATTTTCCTAGTAAACTCGTTTGGGTTCCCAAAACGATGAAGTTATTTTAGCTGTACACAGATATACATTAGACTTGATATTCCATGCACATGTAATTATTCCTTCAAATTCCAATACATCCCTTTCGCAGGTGGTGAAATTGCTTGGAGACTTGGAGTAATCTCTCAGACTCCATGGAGAAATCACTAAACTTTGGACAGTGTGAGAATGACAATGCCCATGCCGTACCTGCTTTGGCTAAGGGACCGAAAAGAACTGGCAACAATGACTTGTTTCTTTCTAATTTGTAAAAGTCAGATGATGAACTTGTAAAAAGCGAGATGAACTTGAAAAATTCAAATAAAATAAAATATAAAGGAGTTTCTTTCACTACTTCAGTCTTTTCAGAGGATGGACCACTGTTTTGTGCTTGTTAGTGACATTTTTTTTATTATTAGAGCAATTCCCACACCTCTCTCTCAACATACTTCATTTCTCAAACTAAACAATCAGAAAAAGATGGCCATGTCCGTCGTTAATCACAACATCAGCCTGTCTAGGCCAGGGGCTCCTCTTTTCACAACTGGAATCCAAACAGACATGAATTATTTGGGTAATGGTTTACCATCTGGCAGTTAGGCTAGAAAAGGAGAGACTTCTCTATTTCATGAGTTAGTCCCTGGAGAAGGGCAGAGGGAGGCTTCTTATTTCTTTCCCATTCCACAGTCCTGGGAGCTGGCCAGGAATTTCTTTTTCATACCAATTTTTAATGGAGTCCTCTCCTTCCTACAGGATTTATATTAAGTATCTTAGGATGTGCTAAAGCCATTTGAAAACCCTTTATTGCTGCTCTTAAACTGTATCAATAAACCACCACCAAACAAAACAAAATGCAACCCCTCCCCCCCTTTTTTTTCCTGGTATTTTCTCAAGTGCTGACTCTAATCTCTTTCCTCTGCATTTGACAAATTTTCCTGGATGGCTCCAGGAAAATTTAATCCCATGGCTCCAGTTACTATCTATATGCTGATGATCTCAAATACATTATCTCTAGAATTAATCTTCCCCGGAATCTTCAGATTTCTACATAAAAGAACAGCCACTTGGATCTTCCACAGCTATCTCAAACATCCCCCCACCCCAATTTTCCAACCAGTACCACCCTCTCCAGGTGAGTTCCATAATTCACCACTAGCCATCACCATCGATCCATTCATTACAGGCAGAAGTCTTGTCTCATTACAGGCTCCTTCTACTTATAAAATTACAAAATTCAGTGAATTTTAATTTTTTAAAAAATCCTCACCCAAGGATATTTTATTGATTTTAGAGAGAAAGAAACATCAATGTGAGAAACACCGATTAGCTGCCTCCTGTATGCACCCCAACAAGGGATCAAACCTGAAACCTAGGTATGTGCCCTGACCAGAATTGAACCCATAACCTTTTGGTGTATGGGAAGGCGTTCCAACCAACTGAGCCACCCGGCCAGGCCAATGGATTTTGCTTTATAATTTCC